CCAATCTCACTTGGTCAGTGGTTCTGCATGTGACTGAGAAATTCTCCCATACTACTTTTGAAAACTTCATAAAATCCCACTTTTCGTTCAAAATTTGTGCTTTCTCTTTGCATCTGAGTTGGGTTCCATCATATTATGGGCTCTTTCTTTTTTAAAAAATATTTATTTTATTTACTTTAGAGGCAGAGTTACAGAGAGAGACGGAGACAGAGACAGACAGAGGTCTTCCATCCACTGGTTCACTCTCCAATGGCTGCAACAGCCAGAGCTGAGCTGATCCGAAGCCAGGAGCCAGGAGCTTCTTCTGGTTTCCCACGTGGGTACAAGGCCCAAGTACTTGGGTTATCTTCTATTGCTTTCCCAGGCACATCAACAGAGAGCTGGATCAGAAGTGGAGCAGCCAGGACTCAAACCGGTACCCATATGGGATGCTGGCACTACAAGCAGAGGCTTAACCTACTATGCCACAGCGCTGGCCCCATATGGGTGCTTTCTACGACTAACAAGAGGCTAACCATCAAAACCGCAGATGCATTTGCCCACGGCAGATGCTAACAGGAACCTGGGTTGGGGGTGGGGGGATGTTTGAGCAAGGGGTCATTCTACAAAATCTCAGTTCATTGGTACCTGAACTCAAACAGTGGCTTCATGTCCAGCCAGCTGGGAAGCTGTGAGCAGATTACTCAACCTTTCTGTGTCTCTACTTCCTCCTTTGTAAAATGGAGGTGGCTTATCAGTGACTTATTTCTGCAAAATAAATCAAGAAATTTTAAACCACTACCATTTCATTTTCTCAGGCAGGTCAGCGATTGGGGCTCAGCTTGGCAGTTCTTCTGCTGGTGCCGCTGGGCTGCTCATGCAACTGCAGTTATCTGGCAACTCAGGCAGGGCTGGATGTCTAAGACGGCACACACCTGTACCTGCTCATTGCCGCCTGGCCACCAGTCTTCAGCAGAAGTGTTCCAAAACAACAGGGGTGGAAGCTGCAAGGTCTCTTGAACCTTAGCTCAGAGGCCACAAAAGGCAACTTTTTTTTAAGATTTATTTATTTACTTGAAAGTCAGAGTTACACAGAGAGAAGAGAGGCAGAGAGAGAGAGAGAGAGAGAGAGAGAGAGAGAGAGAGAGAGAGAGAGAGAGTCTTCCATCCGCTGGTTCACTCTCCAATTGGCCGCAATGGCCGGAGCTGCGCCAATCCGAAGCCAGGAGCCAGGAGCTTCTTCCTGGTTTCCCACACGGGTGCAGGGGCCCAAGGACTTGGGCCATCTTCTACTGCCAAAAAGCAACTTTTTAAAGATTTATTTATGGGGCCAGTGCCGTGGCATAGTAGGCTAATCTTCCACCTGTAGCACTGGCATCCCATATGGGCACCAATTTGTGTCCTGGCTGTTCCTCTTCCCATCCAGCTCTCTGCTAATGGCCTGGGAAAGTAGTGGGAGATGGCCCAAGTAGTTGGGCCCCTGCACCCACATTGGAGACATGGAAGAATCTGTGGCTCCTGGCTTTGGATTGCCCCAGCTCTGGCCACTGTGGCCATTTGGGGATTGTACCAGTGTATGGAAGACCTTTTTATCTCTCCCTGACTCTGCCTCTCAAATAAAATAAATACAATCTTTTTAAAAAGAAGATTTATTTATTTGAAACTCAAAGTTACAGAGAGAGAGAGAGAAACAGAGGGAGAGAGAGAAGAGCAAGATCTTCCATCTGCTGGTTTATTACCCAAATGGCTGCAATGTCCAGGGATGGGCCAGGCCAAACCCAGGAGCCAAGAGCTTCTTCAGGTCTCCCATGTGGATGGAGAGGTCCAAGCACTCGGGCTATCTTCCACTGCTCTCCAGGCACATTAGCAGGGAGCTAGATCAGAAGTGGAGCATCCGGGACTCAAACTAGCACCCATGTGAGATGCTGGCAGTGCAGATGGCAGCTTAACCCGCTATGCCACAGAGCTGGCCCCACAAAAAACAACTTCTACCATGTTCCATTGTCAAAGCAAGTCACAAACCCAGGCTAAAGTCGATGGATGGAAAAATAGACTCTACCTCTAAAAAGGATGAGTGGCAAAGTAACATTAGAAGGGACACATGTACAAGCACGGGGGCCATTATTACAGTCATCTCAGCAAATACACAGTGATGACCATGTTGCAGTTTATGGTAGGGACTGCAAGGGTTAATACACACAAATGCTTAGAACCTACACCTTGGCTGGTGCTCCGTGTCAGTCCTCTTCTTTTTTCTTTTTTTTTTTTTTTTTAAAGATTGATTTATGGGGCCAGCGCTGTGGCACAGTGGGTTAAAGCCCTGGCCTGAAGCATCGGAACCCCATATGGACGCCAGTTCAAGACCCGGCTGCTCCACTTCCGATCCAGCTCTCTGCTGTGGCCCAGGAAGGCAGTGGAGGATAGGCCAAATCTTTGGACCCCTGCACCCGTGCGGGAGACCCAGAGGAAGCTCCTGGCTCCTGGCTTTGGATAGGCATAGCTCCGGCCATTGTGGCCATCTGGGGAGTGAACCAGCGGGTGGAAGACCTCTCTCTCTCTCTCTGTCTCTACCTCTCTCTGTAACTCTGTCATTCAAATAAATAAAATAATAAATAAATCTTTTTTTAAAATTGATTTATTTATTTTATAGTCAGAGTTACAGAGAGAGAGACTCCCACGAGGCGGGGCTGGGAGAGGCCAGCCTGCTCCTTTCCTAGCACCTGCTGCAAGCTGGCCTTGCTGAGCGCTTTCCAGGAAGGGGAGGGGCCCTTTGGGGGTAACTGGAGGGGACAGGCCTGCCCCCTGCACTGAGTGTGTGGTGGCTGAGCACAGCCAAAAGGAACCATGAGATCCAGGGGCTGCAATCCCCACCAGAGGGCCTGGGGCTGTATCAGATTTGCCTGGAAACTTCTAAAGCTGAGGAACCCCAGGCCAGGCCCCAGGGCAATTAGTCAGCTCCTCCAGCGCTGGGGACGGCAGCGTGAGCGTGTTCACTGTCTACACAGGCCGGTCTGCTGGGCAGCAGGGACGGAACCATTGGCCGAAGAAGGTTACCTGAGCCCACCCTTCCTGGTGGCATGTCCGGGGTGGTGTGGCTGCCGAGTCCCTAACTCTCTCACCGTTCCGTGGCCCAGCACCTAGCAGGCCTGACGCAGCACTGAAAGGCAAACGAATGAACAACTCTGCATCTGAACACGAGTGAAAAACTACACACAGCCCTGGAAAGGCCCACAGGCCCATTTAGGCAGCAAGACTCACGCACGCCCGTGCCTTACAGAGAAACCAAGGCCCACAGGGGACAGGGACCCCGCAGGGCCCAGCCCAGCACCCAGGGCAGAAGCTGCCAGGGAACGTAATGCATGTGCATATGTATGCATTTTAAAGGTAGAACCAGAGAGAAGGAGAGCATCCATCCACTGGTTCAGTCTGGTTCAGTCTGGCCACTGGCAGAAGCTGGGAGCCAGGAACTCTCTCCCCAGACTCCCCCTTGGGTGCCAGGGGCCCAAGGACTCGGGTCACCCTCCACTGTTTTCCCAGGCACACTGGCAGGGAGCTGGACAGGATGCAGGGCAGCCAGGGCTCCAGTTAGCACTCCGACACGGGACGTTGTTCCGATATGGGATGCTGGCTGTACCAGTGGCGGCACAGCCCGCTGCGCCACGATGCCGGCCCCCCGTTGTGTTCTTTCTCAGCCTGTGTGTATGTGGAGGGAGCCGCCGCAGACTCTCACCCACGGGCTGGGAGCAGCACGTCATCGTACTCCAACCCCCACTCCCCACCCCCATGGAGAAACCGTTTTATGCCGGGCCTGTGTCTCAGTAGAACTGAACATTGGCAGAGCTAGGTCCAGTCTATTCACTGACTATTTACTGATTATCTACTCTGCACTAGGAACCATGGGGAGTTTTCAGGGGTCACCTGCAAACACAGCAGCCAACGACGACCCATTGCCGCTGCAAGTACACAAAGCTCCTTCCAGCAAAATGTCACTCACCTCCAATTCCCCTCCCCTTGAATCCTGGCTGGCCTTGTCACCTGCTCTGACCACAGAGTGGGCACACGGGAGGTTTGAGGCCTGTCCCCTAGGAGAACTGGCAGCTTGTGGTCTTGGTGTCTCGGAGCCCAGATCCACAAGGTTAAGTTCAAAACCTGCCCAGAAAGGCCCAGCCAGCCTCCAGCCATTCCGGCTATCCAGTGGAGGCAGCAGACACGCGAGCAACGCCGTCTTGATTCTCCAGCTCTGGCCAAGCTCCACACTGAGTGCAGCCATCAGGAAGACCCCAGCCAGTATCGTGGACAACAGAAGAACTGTCAAGCTGAGCCCAGCCAATGCATGGTTATTAGAACTTGCTGCTGGGGCCAGCACTGTGGCACAGTGGGTTAAAGCCCTGGCCTGAAGCGCTGGCATCTCATATGGGTGTCAGTTCCATTCCCGGCTGCTCCTTTTCCGATCCAGCTCTCTGCTATGGCCTGGGAAGGCAGTAGAAGATGGCCCAAGTCCTTGGGACCCTGCACCCACGTGGGAGACATAGAAGATGCTCCTGGCTCCTGGCTTTGGATGGGCACAGCTCTGGCTGTTGCGGCCATGTGGGAAGTGAACCAGCAGATGGAAGACCTCTCTGTGTGTCTCTACCTCTCTCTGTAGCTCTTTCAAATAAATAAAATAAATTAAAAAAATATTGCTGCTGTATTAAGCCAGTGATTTATGGGGTGGTTGCACCAACATGTAACCGAAACACAAGAGGAGCCTGATAATAAACAACCAATATTTTTTTACTATAATACTATTTATTATCAGGTGTCAGCAACTCCCAGCTCCTTGGCTTGGGATCCGTAAGTACCCTCCTTCCCTTCTCTTGGACTAAGCAGCCCCACATCAGCACCTTCCCCACCAGGTCTCCCGCTCTGGGGAATGCAGTGCCCACACCTGCTGCCGAGCTCGCCCAGTGTCCATCTGCCTTCTCACCGCGGTCAGAGACCCTCCCCCATCTCCCTCCCTCCCACCCGCACTCTGCCACCAGAGAAACGAGTAACTCAGGATGAACCCAACGCTTCTGCTTCTGCAAACTCGGGGACAGATTTGCTCCTGCCCCCTCCCTTCCTGTGCCAGCCTCCCTCTGCTTCCACACCCGGACACCGCACTGCCAGGTAGGGAAGGGCCCCGCGCGGTGAGTCCTGTGGCCACCTGCTCCCCTTTCCACTCACAGCCACTCACTCTTCCTGTGGTGAGCACAGCACCCTGACCTTGCTCGGGAAGCTCCCCACCTCACCTCCCACCCCGTCCCTCTGCCTGGGGGATTCCAACAGTGGCCACAGTCCCCGGCTCAGGCTCGGGCACAGAACCCAAGGGCTCCCATCAGAGCAAATCCCAGCGCTTCTGGGCTTCCACAGGGAAGAATGTGTCTCTCTGTCACGGAGATTTCTCCTGCAAGGGTAACGGAAGCCTGGAGCTGCTAGGGTTGCTGTAAGAAAGAAGGTCTGCCAGGGAATGAGACCAACACAGCAGAGAGCTAGAGACAGAGATGGGGGATGGGGGGGATGGAGTGTGGAGGGGAGGAGAGGAAGGCAGGTGGTGACATCCCAGAAGCAGGCTCACACCAAGAGCAGAAGTCAGGTGTCAGAGGGTTCGTCCTGGCAGGCTTGGGTGGCCCCTGTGTCCCTCAGAGCACGGGACGTATTTGGGGAAACTTTAACAGACTTCGCTGGCAGGTCCTTGAGGGTGAGCTGCTGACAGGTGTCACTGACAAGTTAAATAATTAACCGCCACTTTTTTTTGCATATAGGCCACGTGACTGTAATGGGGCTGTGTGTCCTGATCAGCCTCACTTGTTTACAACTGACAGGAAACTGATTCCAACTGGCACAAACACCCAGGGCGCTTATTAACTCACCCAGCGTGTCACAGGGTAGCCCTGCCTTTGGAAGAGCCAGGTGCAAAGATCAGAACACCACAGGGTTGGGGTGGGCCTTGGCACAGCGCTTAAGATGCCACCAGGGACATCTGCCTCGGCGCAAGTCCCGCCTCTGCTTTTGAATGGAGCTTCCTGCTAATGCACAGCCTGGGAGGCAGCAGATGATGGTCCAAGTACTTGGCCCCTGCCGCAAACACGGGACACCCAGAGTTCATTCCAGGCTTCCGGTTTCAACCTGGCCCAACCCTAGCTGTTTCAGGCATTTGGGGAATGAACCAGCAGATCGAAGAGTTCTGTCTCTGTATCTCTGTCTTTCAAATACATGAAAATGGGAATCTCTAAATAAATAAACACATAAATGAATGAATGAATAAAGACTGTGGGACTGTCCTGGACTTTGTTCTCCTTGCATGTCAGATTTCTCTGAGTGGCAGGGAACGTAGCCGCGAGCCTCGCCTCTCTGATTGCACTTGTAAAAAGTCCTGGGGAAGGAACTTGATTGGCCCAGAGTGCATCACGTCTGCCCACGTGGCCAAGGCCAGAATCTGTTGTCACAGGCAGGAAGGTTGGTGCAGAGGTGGCCTCCAGGGGAACACTTTTTTTTTTTTTTTAAATTTATTTGAAAGGCAGAGTTGCAGAGGGAGAGAGAGATCAATTTTCCATCTATTTGTTCATTCCGCCAGTGGCCATACAGCCAGAAGTTGGCCAAGCCAAAGCCAGGAGACTGGAACTCCATCCGAGTCTCCCACGCAGGTGCAGGGCCACCTTGCACTGCTTTCCCAGGTGCATTTAGCAGGGCACTGGATCAAAAGTGGAGCAGCCAGGACTTGAACCGGCATTCATACAGCACTTTCGGCATGGGAAGTGGTGGCTTCACCTGCTGTACCACAGTGCAGGCCCCTACAGTCAGTCTTACCTTTGTCCACCTGGGAGGGAGAGGACGAGAGGGGAGAACTCACTGGGGGGAAGCATGGAACTCCACGGACAGCACAGCCAGCCTGGTGTCTAATCAGACAACAGAGCCCAGGACAGGGCACACCCCGGTCTCAGGCAAGACTCCTCCAGGCAGGGGCACTGACAGCACCGTCAGGATGAGGGTGGGGAGCGTGCAGAGAAAGCTGGCTTGCCTTTGAATTATGCAGAGTGGAGTGTCATGGTGGCTTTGATGGTGTTTAATTAAATATTTGGCACATTTAATTAATTAAATATTTAAACGTTAAATACAGAATCAGATGTGACTTAGTGGACATTATATCTCCACAGCCATTAGTCATTCATCAGGCCTCTGAAGGGAGCCTCTGCAGCCTCGGCACCCGCCCCCCACGTGCACACAGACTCTGGGAGACACCTGGGGAGCAGCATTAATTAATCACCGCTGGGGGCTGCACGGGCGCTGCTGTTGCAGGATGCCATGTGTCACTTGGCAGGGCTTCTCTTGCTTGGTCCCAGGACCAACATACAGGACAGTGCCGTAGGCAGGGTCTCCTTTCCTGGATGGCAAAATCTGCCCTGCAATCACCCAGACGCACACACACAGCCCTGCCACCGCCTCTTCCAAACACAGCACCCAGATCCCAAACCACAACGGCTGCAGACGGCTTCCTCAGCTCCTGTCCTGTGCCCCTCCCTTGCCTGGGAGGGGTGCAGGCTCCTTGACGGAAGGAGGGAAGCTGCCCCCCCCATGGGGGAAACTGCTCCTTCCAGATCGCCCTGGCTTAGTGCTCCAGGAGCCTCTGGGGCACTCAGCCCCTGACCCCGGCCAACCGCGAGGATGGCTGAGGTCGCTGGAGACAGCAAGGTAGGTCTGCTGTCGCCTAGTCCCTGGGATCCCACCTGGGCCCGGCCCAGTGGGAGCCCAGATATGAGGGATAGGGACTGGGGGGTGATAAGCAGCCACCGGGCTGCAGCCACAGTGATCTCTCCACAGGGTGATTTGAACAGTCTGGAGAGGCTAGGGGTTCTCTGCTGGCCTCAAGATAAAGCCTAGACTCTGCACTCCACACTCCAGCTGTCTTGGTCCTGCTGCCCGGTCCCCAGGGATCCAGCATCCTGTGGAGGCCCCAGACACCCCCAGGGCTGGGCTCTCTGGATCTTGGTGTAATTTGTTCCTTCTGCCTAAAATTTATCGTTCTTCAGGTCTCACAAAGTCAACTCCCCCAGCAAGCTCCCCTGGCTCAGGGACTGGAGGAATGGCCAGGCAGCCCCACACAGGGGCAGCTGGATGGCCCCCTCTGGTCTCCAGGCACACCCCAGGGCCTGGATGCACAGAGCTCCCAGTAGGCACCCTGGACCCTGCTGCGTATGGATTGAGAAGCAAGGGAAGCTAGTGGGTAGGAGGGCGGCCAAGAGGAAGGCTCAGAACTGCCACCTACTGGCCACTGAGAGAAATGTCTGGAAGTGCACCAGAAACAGCAGACCCGAAGGTTCCCTGGAAGGGCTCCCACCTCTCCTACCTGGGCTTCCTACACAGCATGGGACCTGGGAGAGGGGATAAGAGAGGGAGGGGAAAAGGGGAGGAGGAGGGTCCCCGGATATTATTTGAAAAGAGTCAGAAAAAAAACCACCAAACTGATTTAAAAATCAACACATTTCATACCAAAGTATGTACAGTGCAACCCCATTATGCTTTTCCTAAGACAACTGAAGGATTTAATTTGAAAGCCATTGATTTTTTTTCCTGGAACGGCACAGGTGTGCTCCAGAAGGAGCCACACCCCTAAGGCTGTCCGGTGGCTGGGTGGGTGTCTCTGCCTCTGGGACTGACCTCATGTGGGGGTTGGGACTCCAGAACCTGGACCCAGCAGCCCCCAGGAGGGTGTAGCAGGAACAGGCTGATCCTAACAGGGCCTGGTAAACTAGGCCGGCCCTTGCCCCTCCAAGCTCCAAGGGCCCTGCACCTCCGTCAGCGGCCAGCCCTGGCGCAAACCTGGTCCCCCAGGCTTCAGGGTCCAGGCACCTCCGTCCCCTCCCTGCGGCAGCCACCTCATGGCTCTCCTTGGCCTTGTTTCTCTGCCCTTTATAAACATGCACTGGGCCGGAGCCATGGGGCAGGGGGGCTCTTTCGGAGGGAAAATTAAGCACAATGACAAACTTAGTTATTCATGCACACCATCAGCCTGCGAGCCCTGATTATGCAAACCCTGTGTATCCGAGTGACTGAGCCCGCTCATCAAAGGCGCCACCGGGCAGGGAGGCCACTGCCGGCCCAGCCCACCTTGCCTGCCGCCTTTGTACTCACTGCTCAACCCCTCACGGGCCACCGGGCCGCGCTCCTGACGCGGGGACCCCTCTGCGCTCCATTTTAAAGGCTTAATTAACCTTGTGAGAGTGGCGGGCCCCCTGCACCTGGCTATCTGCTGCATGGGTACTGGAGGCGCGCAGTGCGGACCATATGGTATTTCAAAGAGCAGAAGTTGAAAGTACAGTACATATTAATTCCTTCCACGGAGAGCATTAAAGGGGTGTAAGTATTTTATTAAAGCCTATATGTGCTTGCACGTGTGCGCCCGTCTGTGTGTGTGTGCGTGCGTGTGTGCACAGCAAGCGGAAACAGAGTTGACGCGCAGAAAAACTGAAATGACACAGATTTATTTTCATCTCTCTGCCAGCCCACCCCATAGCAACAGTGAAAACTTGGTCTATGTAAACTCGAGAAAACAAGAAATATTTTAGCAAGTCGTCTCAGCTCATGGCTAGTGCCAATTTTCCCTCTTTTTGGAAACACGAGCCGTCTCCCCCGTGTCAGCACTGAAGGCAGGGTGGGAGGCGGGCAGGGACAGGTCACCAGCGGCAGCCCGGGGACTCGCTTTCAGGAGAAGATGCTGGAAGCCAGGCCAGGGCCAGCCCACCCTGCAAGGCACTAGGCTCTCTGACCCTCAGCCCCCAACCTCACAGGTTGTTGTGAGGATAAAAGAAGCCCACGTGGGGCTGGCGCTGTGGTGTAGCGGGTTAAGCCACCGCCTGTGTGCCAGCATCTCATATGGGCGCCAGTTCAAGACCCGGCTGCTCCATTTCCAATCCAGCTCTCTGCTATGGCCTGGGAAAGCAGCAGAAGATGGCCCAGGACCTTGGGCCCCCGAACCCACATGGGAGACCTGGAGGAAGCTCCTGGCTCCTGGCTTCAGATTGGTGCAGCTCTGGCCAGCGCAGTCATCTGAGGAGTGAACCAGCAGATGGAAGACCTCTCTCTATGTCTCTCTGCCTTTCAAATAAATAAATAAATCTTAAAAAAATAAATAACAGCAGCAGCAGCAGCAGCTCAAACAATGGGCTTAGAGCAGCACCAGACACGGGGCGCACCTGCCTCCTTTCTCCTTTGGAGAAAGGCTTCTTACTGCTGATTTTTTCCTACCCAGCATCCTCTCTGCCTTCTCTTGGTAACACACGCACCCCTGCCCGCCGGAACCCCTTTCTGTCCCAGCAATTGGGGTTGGGGTGGTCATGACCAAGGCTGACCAATGAGAGGCCTGCATCTCTCTGGCCTCTGGGACTGGTTCCAGGGCAGTCACACGACCCACAACAGACCAATGAGGCTCAATTCTGAGACTTTCGCTGGAATTAATAAGGAAGTCTTTTTATCCCACAGACTGGGGACACTGGGAGTGTGGAGCTCACTGCTAACCTAGTCTTGGGCAGATGTAGATTCCCCAGGGGCCAACCCACCTCTCCTACACAGCGGCAGAAACTGAAACCCTATACACTGAAAGAAAAGCAGACCAGGCAAGCTGGTCAGGTGCAGCCTCTCAGAGACGCAGATCTGCCCCATCCGAGAGCGAGAGCCCCAGGAATGCCGGGCTGCCCCTCCCTGACCACCTGCAATTCTGCCTGCAGGCCCAAAGCGCCTCTGCTGGGGAAGCAGTGAGTCAGCGGGCCCGTGACCTTAGGAGCACTGTGTGTATGGGTGGGGGAGGCTGCTTAGGGAGGGGTCCCTGACCCTGGGCCCCTCGAGGCACACCCTGTTTTCACAGGACGACATGCCATCAAGGCCTCAGAAGTTCATCAAAAGCACAGGTCACCGGCGTCACAGCTGCAGGGACCTGGGACCCTTCTGGGCCTCCCCCCCCGCCCCCCACTCTGATGGAAACCCATTTACCATCGCCAAGTCTCTCCGTCATTGACAGCAGGGGGGAGATGTGTTCAGGCTCCAGACACAATCGGGAATTATCCATACTGCGCTTACAACTGAGGGGTGCGCTTCCCTCTTAGGCGAGGTCGCCTCCAGGTTGTCCCAGGCACGCTCTTCTCCTCCTGAGTTCCAGAGGCTCACAGTCACAGGGGACCCTTCTCAGTCACCCAGGGTCCTTCCTCGGAGGCTCTGTCTGGTCCTGGCCAAGGGACGCGCAGATGACCGATTCTGTAGACCAGACACCACAAGGTCTAACCCCGACTCAGGCCTCGGTGGACAGTCAGCTCTTGGTGAACAGCACTGGGCACGTTCCCTGCAACAGGACCACCTCCCTGGCTTAAAGTGCAGGGAATTACAGCCGCAAAGTAAGTGACTGGAGAAGTTAAAAACAGGTGGGGGAAGGGGGGTCTTTGAAGGGGAGCCCCGCAATCCGAGCACCAAATGCCCAAAGCTCTTGCTGACTGTAGAACCATATACAAGTAAGACAGTCGCCTAACAGCAAGGCTGAGGCAAAGAACACTCAGCTGAGATTTCAACCACTGTGCTCTGCAGGAGACAGTGTACGGGTTGAAAACAACTTTATTGAACAAAAATCAATATTCTTCACGCTTAAAAACTGCTAAGTGATCTAAGTAAAAATTCTCACCCACACACAGACATAACAGATGAGGTGATGAATGTGTTAGCTTGATTTAATCATCTTAAGTGTGCGTTTTACAATGTATACATATTCTAAAACATTATTTTGTATACTGCAAATATATACAGTATTTGTTCATTATACCTGATGAAAGGGGGAGTGGCAGGCAATCAGTGCTCTTCAGCAGAAACAAAGAATCCAGAGTCTCCACAATATTTCATCACAATTTCCAGGACAAAATCCAAAACTGCCTGTCCCATGCAGATGAGAAACCATGACCCAACAGTGAAGATCAAATGTTTTTTCCTCAATGGAGAAAAAGGAAAAGAGAAGTAAGAAACCCAAAACTGATGGAACAAACAAAACAAACAGAAAAATTGGTAAATTTCAACTCAACTCGCCAGTAATTACACTAAATGTAATTGGTCTAAACTTTCTAATTAAAAAGCAGAGACAGATATGACAAAAAGCAAAATCAAAATAATTATTATCTAGGAAAAAACATGTTAATTAGAACTGTTAAAAGTACAAAGACAGAAAAAGAGAAACAATAAAAACACTTATTGTTAAGAAAGCTTTTTTATTTTTTTAATATTTCTTTATTTATTTGAAGGTCAGAGTTACACAGAGACAGAAGGAGAGGCAGAGAGAGAGAGAGAGAGAGAAAGTCTTCCATCTGCTGGTTCACTCCCCAGTTGGCTGCAACGGCCAGAGCTGTGCTGATCCGAAGCCAGGAGCCAGGAGCTTCTTCCGGGTCTCCCATGCAGGTGCAGGGATCCAAGGACTTGGGCCATCTTCTACTGCTTTCCCAGGTCATAGCAGAGAGCTTGATCAGAAGTGGAGCAGCCAGGACACAAACTGGCGCCCATATGGGATGCCGGCACTGCAGACAGTGGCTTTACCCACTATGCCACAGTGCCCGCCCCAAGAAAGCTTTTTTAAAGATTTATTTTATTTATTGAAAGACAGAGTTACAGAGATAGAGACACAGAAGGAGAGGTCTTCCATCCACTGGTTCACTCTCCAAATGGCCGCAATGGCTGGAGCCGAGCAGATCCAAAGCCAGGAGCCAGGAGCGTCTTCATTCAGGGTGCCCCTTTAGCTTCATTTAGGAGCTTCGTTCAGTGCTTCATTTAGGAGCTCCACATTTAGGGTGGAGGTGTCAATCCTCCTTTTTCAGTAATTGATAGAACAAGCAGAAATTAAGATCATAAAAGACTTGAACAAAACCATCCAACAACTGAACTAGTTGGCATTCACAGAACACTGCACCCTACACGTTTCATTCAGTTGCATGCAGAAATGTTCGTTAACTTAGAATTCAGTGACAAAAACATATCTGGAAAATCTCCCAGTTTGGTAACTAAATAACATTTCTAATGAAGTTAAACAGCAAACTTGAGATAGATCAAGTAGGAATCATAAGAGTGAAAAATACTTTGAAATGAATGAAAATGGAAACAGAACATACTAAAATTTGTGGGATGCAGTCAACTCAGTATTTCAAAGGAAATTCATAACCTTAAATGCTCAGAGTAGGGACTGGCATTGTGGCTCAGCGAGCTAAGCTGCCACCTCCAATGCCAGCATCCTGTAATAGAGTGCTGATTTGCTTCCAATCCAGCTCCCTGGCAGTGTGCCTGAGAAGGCAGTGGAGGATGGCCCACGTACTCGGGCCCCTGCCACCCACATGAGAGACCTGGATAGAGCTCTGGGCTCCTGGCTTCGTCCTGGCCGATCCTGGGCCATAAGCGTCATTTGGGCAGTGAACCAGTGAATGAACGAACTCTCTCTGCCCCTGTCATGGTGTCTTTCAAATAAATAAATAAATCTTTGTAGCCATCTGAGGAGTGAGCAAGCAGATTTTCTCTCTGCCCTTCAAATAATAAATAAATACATCGTTTTAAAATGAGCTGGACTGGAAGAAGAGCAGCCAGGACAGAATCCGGCACCCCAACCGGGACTAGAACCCGTGTGCTGGTGCCGCAAGGCAGAGAATTAGCCTAGTGAGCCATGGCGCCGGCCCATTTATAAAGTTTAAAACTTAAGGCTGGCACCGCGGCTCACTAGGCTAATCCTCTGCCTTGCGGCGCTGGCACACCAGGTTCTAGTCCCGGTTGGGGCGCTGGATTCTGTCCCGGTTGACCCTCTTCCAGGCCAGCTCTCTGCTGTGGCCAGGGAGTACAGTGGAGGATGGCCCAAGTGCTTGGGCCCTGCACCCCATGGGAGACCAGGAGAAGCACCTGGCTCCTGCCATCGGATCAGCGCGGTGCGCCAGCCACAGCGCGCCGGCCGCGGTAGCCATTGGAGGGTGAATCAACGGCAAAGGAAGACCTTTCTCTCTCTCTCTCTCTCTCTGTCCACTCTGCCTGTCAAAAATTTGCAGAGAGAGAGAAACAGAAAAAAAAAACCTTAACCTAAAACAAGTAAGATATGAAAGAAAATGAAAACTTTAAATATTTGAAATTGGGCCTTCTTCTTTGAAGAGGTGAAAATATGATACAATTTCAGATACACTGATCAAAAAATTAGTTCTTTAAGGAATAACAAAGCATTTTCCACAACACACCTTTGAAACCAGATGTGAGCTCTCCCCACACACCAGTGGGACAACTCAGAGGGGACGAGCTAACTCACTCCAATCCTGGCGCTGTCGATCTGGAAGCAGCGCCAAACCCCAAGGCCTGGGCCCGGCCCCTCCCCGCTGCAGACGACAGTAGCAAGTGCACTTCTATTTTAAAAATGGAGACTTCCATGACCCCTCCCTTCAGGCTAAGTAACTCACGCCAGCAGCCCACAGAACTCAGGGAAAACACTGTACTCCCTAAAGCAGGAAACACGACATGGATGAACGGCGCATGGAAGAGATGCAGAGGACAGGTTGGGGAAAGGGGCAAAGAGCTCCATGAACCTCCCGCTCGCTCACTCGCTCTCTCTACAACTCTGCCTTCCAAATAGAGAAGACACCGAAATTCTATTTTTTTTTTTTTTTAAGATTTATTTATTTATTGGAAAGGCAGAGTGACAGACAGGCAGATAGAGAGAGACAGAGGTCTTCCATCTGCTGATTCACTCCCCAAATGGCCACAGTGGCCGGGCCAGGCCCAAACCAGGAGCCAGAAGCTTCTTTCAAGTCTCCCACATGGGTACAGGGGCCCAAGCACTTGGGCCATCTTCCACCGCTTTCCCAGGCACAGTAGCAGGGAGCTGGATGGGAAGTAGAGCAGCCAGAACTTGAACTGGCACCCCTATGGGATGGTGGCACTGCAGACAGTGGCTTTACCCATTATGCCACAGTGCTGGCCCCAAGACACAGAAATTCTAAGCAGTACTGTATCTATTTTAAAATTGGATTCAAATTATTCTTCCTACAAAGAAAACTCAAGGCTCAGGGAGCTTCACTAGTGAATTTTGTCAGACATTTAAAAAGGAACTATAATACCAAGCCCACAGAAACTCTTTGCAAACACAGAATAGGAAGCAGTACCTCCAAGTCACTTTATGAGGCCAGTAGTACAGGATAGAAACATTACAAGAAAAAAAAAATATAACACAGACCAATATAACTTGAAACACAGGTACAAAAGCTCAACAAAATTTTAACAAATCAAATCTAGAAATATATAAAAGTAGGCTTTATCACAACACAGGGATAGGTCTGATCAAAATTGATAAATCGGGGCCGGCGCCATGGCTCACTTGGTTAATCCTCCGCCTGAGGTGCCGGCATCACATATGGGTGCCAAGTTCTAGTCCTGGCTGCTCCTCTTCCAGTCCAGCTCTCTGCTGTGGCCCGGGAAAGCAGTGGAGGATGGCCCAAGTGCTTGGGCCCTGCACCCGCATGGGAGACCAGGAAGAAGCACCTGCCTCCTGGCTTCAGATCGGTGCAGCGCCAGCCGTAGCGGCCATTTGGGGAGTGAACCAACAGAAGGAAGACTTTTCTCTCTGTCTCTCTCTGTCTATAACTCTACCTGTCAAATAAATAAATAAATGATAAATCAAGATAGTCAACCTCATTACTCAATAACAGAAGTATCTCATGATGTTAATGGATACAGAAAAGGCTCTTGGAAAATTCAACATGTATTTGTGGCTAAAGAAAAAACATCCTCAATCTGATTAAAATGCATCTTTGGAAAGCCGACGTCCAATATCACCGTTGAGGCTAAGAGAGGATGGTGTCCTAAGGTCAGGCAAAGACGATGGCTTCCCTCTCCACTCATACTCAGCACTGTCCTAGAAGTCCAGACCAAGGAAATCAGACAGCGAAAGAGACACGCAAACAGATCAGGAAGGAAGGCTCAGACTGACCGCTCACAGGTGACCGTCTATGTGAAAGATCCCCCCAAATATACAAAAAAAAAAAAAAAGCCAGCAAATATCACCACAAATACCTAATAATAAACACAGCAATTCAAGAAACAAGGAAGGCAACATGATGCCACAGAAGAACACAACACTTCAATACTAGAATGTGAGGATGAAGAGACTGACGGAATGACAGAAATGGAATTCAAAAAACTGATTACTTAGGATTACTTAGAAGAGATCAGAAGCAAATTCATGAACTAAAGAAATCTGTACATGACATGAATGAAAGTTTTCCCACAAAATTGAGATTTCAAGGGAAATCAAAATGAAATGTTGGAAATGAAGAATTCAATAGAACAAATAAAAATATGGTGGGAAGCCTTAAGAACAGACTTGATGAGGCAGAAGAAAGAATAACTGAGTTAGAAGATAAATCTCTGAAAATTTTACAATCAGATCAAAAAAAAAAGAAGAAATTAGAAAACTGAAAAAAAAAAAAGTGTTGGAGACATATGGGGTACTATCAAATGACCCAACATATGGGTCTTAGGTTTTCCTGAAGGCATGGAAATAGAGAATGAATTAGAAGGCTTTTTTTAGTGAAATAATAACAGAACTCTTTCCTAATTTGGAGAGAGAAAGGGACATCTAAATACAGGAAACACATAGAACTCTAACAGACGTGACCAGAATAGATCTTCACCATGACACACTATAGTCAAACTCTCCACAGTAAAACATAAAGAAAAGATTTTAAAATGAGCAGGAGAGAAACACCAGATTACTTTCAGAGGATCTCCAATTAGACTCACAGCTGACTATTCATCAGAAACCCCACAGGTTAGGAGAGAAAGGTGAGATTTATTCCAAGTGTTAAGAGAAAAAAATTGTCAACCCAGAATACTGTACCCTACAAAGCTCTCATTTATGAATGAAGGTGAAATAAAGACCTTCCATAACAAACAGGAATGGAAAGAATTTGTCAGCACTTGTCCAGCCCTACAAAAGATGCTTAAAGATGTGCTACACTTAGAAACACACAAAGTCCTCACTATGAAAGAAGGTGAAGGCAGAAAATCTCCCAGTAGAAAGTAGAAAGGAAATCCAAAGGAAACAATAGGAATATTTATGGAAAAATGGCAGGGCCAAGTCAGGTTGTTACTTACCAGTAGTCACCTTGGAGGTAAATGGCCTCAACTCTCCAGTTAAAAGACACAGACTGACTCAATGGATTCAAAAACAAAACCCGTTATTTGCTTCCTACAAAAAACACATTTCACCAACAAACATGCAGACTGAAAAGTGAAAGGTTGGAAAAGATATTCCATGCTAACAGAAACCAAAAAAGAGCTGGTATAGCCATCCTAATATCTGACAAAATAGACTTTACCACAAAGACTGTTAAAAGAGACACAGAAGGGCACTATGTAATGATAAGGGATCAATTTAACAGGAAGATATGACTATTATAAACGTATATGCACCTAATTACAGGTCACCTGGCTATTTAAAAGAAATGTTAATGGATCTAAAGAGAGAGACAGAGTCCAATACAATAGTAATGGGGGACTTCAATACTCCACTTTCAGCAATGGACAGATCAGACAGAAAATCAACAAGGAAACAACAGAGTTAATCAACACTATCGACCAAATGGACCTAACAGGTATCTACAGAACTTTACATCCTACAGATGCAGACCACACATTCTTCTCAGCAGTGCATGGAACTTTCTCCAGGATTGACTACATCCTAGGCCATAAAGCAAGTCTCAGCAAATTCAAAAAAATCAAAATCATACCATGCATCTTCTCCGACCACAATGGAATGAAGCTGGAAGTCAACAACTCAAGAATCTCT